GATTGTTACTCTCTACACAGCCGAGCCTTGTATAGCAAGGGAGTGTTACTCTCTACACAGCTGAGCCTTGTATAGCAGGGGATTGTTACTCTCTATACAGCTGAGCCTTGTATAGCAGGGGATTGTTATTCTTTTCTTCCTTTGCTCCAACTGTTCCTTCTACCTGGAACATTTTTCCACCTTATCCAAATAAGAAACTCGTTATTCTTTAAATCCAATAAAATGTCACATTTCTATAATTTTTCTCATTGAATTAAAAGTTCCCTATGTTTCCAGTAATTTTGTACCTGCTCTCACTGTGGGACACTGTCTCCTTCCGTGGACGCAGCAAGGAGAAGGCCAATCCAGGAGGTTGGGACTGTTGCTTTGACTCTTAGATTCTCCAGGCCCAGGTTAGGCATTCAGTAAATTTTGATAAAGTGAACTAAATTGCCCTTATTTAAAATCTAAAATCAATTTGCAACAATGTGTCAGTGCTTTTGATGATACAAATGATATCAATTTACTTGAAGATAATTTACCAAAAAACTCCAGGGGCTTATTTCACTCCAGGGTGATAAACTTCATCTTTCACTTTCTTTTTTTTCTTTCTATTTTTTTTTTTTTGTTGTTGTTGAAGTTTTTGGCTGGGGCCGGGTTTGAACCCACCACCTCTGGTATATGGGGCCAGCACCCTACTTCTTGAGCCACAGGCGCCGCCCTTCATCTTTCACTTTCCAGTCATCTTACTTGATGGCAGGAACAACGCCTCCCAGGACCTTTGCTTAAGTACCGGGGAAGTGATGCCTTTGACACTTCAGCAGCTCTTTAGAAGAAACCTACTTCTACTACTACTATTTATACTAATATAAAATCATACACTTGGACAGGACTAACTCTGAAATAGTAATACATAAAACACTACTGAATAGTATTGTAAATTAAAAATCAAGTGCCCATTGAATATTCAGTGGAAAACAAAATGGTTTATTTTAAAATAAAGGGGAATAAAAGTTGTTATATCACATAATATTTTGAGGATATTCACTTTCATATAGTTTGGTATTCAGCTTTGAAAGGTGGAGTTGGAAATTATTTACCTATGGAAAAATAGTAATAACCATAGCTACTATCAATAGAGCACATATTACTTGCCAAGAACTGTATACAATTTGAAGATTAATACATTATTATTTCATCCCAATAGGTGAGGCAAGTGTGGCTCACTGAAGTTCAATGACTCACAGCTCTCTAATACAGTAGAGATAATATTCATGGCCAAGTTTGAAACATTCCATAATTTTATCCCATCCCCATGCAACTGCATGGTCATTACCTAAATAGAAAAGTCCCAGGAATTAACTCAGTTTTCTCAAAGTCTTAGGTGGATATTCTAATAAAAGGAAACTAAGAGGAAAAGGTTCATATATTATTTTTTCTATATTTTTACTATGAGTGCTTATACTTCATCTTTGAGTTACATCTTACACTTCAAATCATACAACTGGCTTAGCAGTCTGGGTCACTTTACTGCTTCTGTCAGAACCTCCCTGGACTTTCCCCTTCACAAATTATGATTTTTCCCACAACATGATTACAATTGCATTCTTTAGTTCAAAAAGTAAGCTTTGGGTGGGGAAGGGTCTACGGATGACTTGTCACATGAAGTAACTTCTGCCCAGAATGTTTTATCTTGGCGTCTGCATTTCTGCACACTTTCCTGGCAGAAACCAACCATCCTGCCTGTCACTTCCTAGAATGAGACTCCTGAGGGTCGATGGGTCTTCCCCCAGCAGGGCCAGGGTTCTCTGGAGAGTCATGAGCACCCAGCAGCTTTACTGAAGCCCTGCAAATTGCTGACAGGCAGAAGATAATATCACTATGAACATGGCGACGTGAAGCATTTGTTTCAATTTTAATATCTTAAATAAGGTAGATAGATTCGAAGATATTGTACATAATCATAAAAGGCAGTGATGAATTTGATTTAAAAAATGTATTGGGTCTCTTCCTGTGACATGATTTTCATGAGTATGAGAAAGAAATGTGAGCTCACCCGCTGTGTAGTGTCAACATCTTGACACAAGGGCCAGGATTCAGAAGTGATTTCTCAAGAAAGGTGGGGAATTACTAGCAAGTGCTCGGAGGTCCACATGCCGATACTTAAAAAAATTCTCTAGTCTAACAATTTTTGCATAACTATTTCAGCACTATCCTGAGCAATTTGTTCACAAAATACATGTACCAGAGATGGCTCATGAGCTAAAATTGGTCATCGGAGAAAGAGTTAAATTCACGTCTGATGCTCTAAAAAGCATCGGTCCCATGTCTGAAAAATTCTTAACCAGCATTACATCACCAGAAGGACCTCTCATTGGCTGGTCTTTCCCTGAGGGCAGACCAGGTTCCACACCTGCTGGAAGATGATGCTTTTAGAGATTAATCTTGTGTGGGGAAAGGTGCTCTGTATGCTCCACTGAAAGGAAATACAGCAGCGGAGGGCAGGAATTCCCTTCCGACTTGCTTCATGGGCGTGCAAGGGAAATAGCTAAGGTTTCGTATGTGTGAGTGACACCTGCTAGAGTGATGTCAGCATTTTCATAATGAACACATATGGCAAAACCAGGGAGGGAATCTGTTTTAGAAGGTCAATGTGACTTGAGAGTTACTGAGTCAATTGAGGCAAAGGAAACAATCACCAGTTCCCACCCTCTGCGTGGAAATTGCTGAACAAAACTTAGAAATGGTGTGGTAACAGTTGAATCTAGTTCCTGAAAATATTTTGAGGGAAGGGAATAATTATCGTGATGATGTATTTGAATAACCTCTGCAAACTTTAGACTCTGTGAAG